GGGAGGGGAGCTGTTGCATTGTGGTAAACTGTGGTCAGTGACATGAGACAAAGTATATGTGACCTGCTGTATGGAAAGTGAATTTGCTCTGTAAATCTTCACCCAAATTTAAAAAAAAAAAAAAGAGAGAAAATACACATAGAGCAAACAAAAAAATTTTAAAAACTCACTACCACTGAGTCTATTGTGACTAATAGCAACCCCCACTGGGTTTCCAAGGCAGTAAATCTTTACAGAAGTAAAGTGCCTCATCTTCCTTCTGGTGGGTTTGAACCACCAGCCTTTTGGTTAGCAGTCAAATGCTTTAGGCACTGCACCCCCAGAGCTCCTTAAAGGAAGCAAAAAGTTATTATAAAGACAGGAAGGGAAGAAAAGGCCAAAATGGTTGTCAGAAGATACTCTTTAAGACTTGCATTTGAACAGAATAGGTAAAGCAAATGGAAGAAATAATGAAGTAAAAGAGCTGAACAGATTTCAAAGGGTGGCTTGAGAATACAAAGTATTATAATGAAATGTTCAAAGACTTGGAGTTAGAAAACCAAAAGGGAAGAACACACTCAGCATTTATCAAGCTGAAAGAACTGAAGAAAAAATTCAAGCATCAAGTTAAAATATTGAAGGATTCTATGGACAAAAGATTGAACAATGCAGGAGCATCAGAAGAATATGAAAGGTACACACAGTCACTGTACCAAAAAGAATTGGTTGAAGTTCAACCATTTCATGAGGTAGTATATGATCAAGAACCACTGGTACTGAAGCTGCACTGAAGGAATTGGAGGAAAAACAAGACTTCAGGAATTGATGGAATACCCATTGAGATGTTTCAACAAATGGATGCTGTGCTGGAGGTGCTACTTATCTATACCAAGAAATTTGGAAGACATTTACCTGGCCAACTAAGTGGAAGAGGTCCATATTTATGCCTATTCCAAAGAAAGGTGATCTAACAGAATATAGAAATTACCAAACCATATCATTAATATCATCCACAAGTAATATTTTCTGAAAATAATTCAAAAACAGCATTACACTGACAGGGAGCTGTCAGAAATTCCTGCCAGATTCAGAAGAGGGCATGGGATTAGGGATATCATTGCTGATATCAGATGGCTCTTGGCTGAAAGCAAAAATGTTCAGCTGTGTTATTATTGACTATGCAAAGGCACTGGACTGTGTAGATCATAACACAGATAATTTGTAGAACAGGAATACCAGAACACTTAATTGTGTTCATGAGGAACCTGTACATAGACCAAGAGGCAGTCATTCAAACAGAACAAGGGGATATTGCATGGTTTAAAATCAGGAAAGGTGTGCATCAGGATTGTGTCCTCTCACCATACTTACTCATTCTGTACACTGAGCAAATAATCTGAGAAGCTAAACTATGTGAAGAAAAATGTGGCATCAGGATTAGAGGAAGACTCATTAACAACCTGTGATAGGCACATGATGTGACCTTACTTGCTGAAAGTGAAGGAGACTTGAAGCACTTAGTGATGAAGACTGAAGAGTACAATCTTCAGTATGGATTACACCTCAGCATAAAGAAAACAAAAGTCCTTACATCTGGACCAATAAGCAACATCATGATAAATGGAGAAAAAATTGAAGTTGTCAGAGATTTCATTTTACTTGGATCCACAATCAATGCCCATGGAAGCAGCATTCAATAAATCAGATAACATACTGCACAGAGCAAATATGCTGCAAAATACTTCTTGAAAGTGTTAAAGAGCAAAGATGTCACTGTGAAGACTAAGGTGCATCTGACCCAAGCCTTGGAATTTTCAGCATGTTATGCTTGTGAAAGCTGGACAGTGGGTAATGAAGACCACAGAAGAAATGATGCATTTGAATTGTGGTGTTGGCACAGAATACTGAAAATACCATGGACTGCCAGCAGAATGAACAGTTCTGTCTTGGAAGAAGTATAGCCACAATGCTACTTTGAAGTAAGGATGGCCAGACTTTGTCTCACATACTTTCGTCATGTTGTTAGAAGGGACCAATCCCTGGAGAAGGATACCATGCGTGGTAAAGTTAAGGTTAGTGAAAAAGGGGAAGACCCTCAGCTAGGTGAGTTGACACAGTGGATGTGATAATGGGCTGAAGTATAGCCGGGATTGTGAGGATGGTGCCAGGACCAGGTGGTGTTGGTTCTGTTGTATGTAGGGTTGCTGTGAGTCAGAGCTGACTTCATGGCACCTAACAACAACAATCTCTTTATGTGTAAATCATAATTTTTTGCATACTAAAGAATAAGAGTTATGTAAATAAAAATCATATAAAGGAAAATCTTTCAAGTTTATCTGTATGTACAAAATTTCTAGGATAGCTCATAATGTTCACAGAGCTAAAAATAATGTGACATTTGCCATTTTATTTGATCTTGTACAATTATCTTTTTCATGTAAGAGAAAAATGTGTTTTTATAAATTAATTAGAATTTTAAGTTATGTTATCCATTAGTTTAGTAAGACTTTTAATGCTAATTGTATGTGATTTTTTCTTATACCTAGAAAATGAAAATTGAATTAGACCAAGTTAAACAGCAACTGATAGTAAGTGAAATTATTTCCTACCTCAGAATATTTTATTAATATTCATTCAGAATACTTATTAAAATACCATTTTTGTATTAATTATCTATAAAGAATGAAACCAGTCGAATCAGAGCAGATAATAAACTGGACATCAACCTAGAAAGGAGCCGAGTAACAGATATGGTAATGTACTTTCGAACATACTTTCTTAGTTACTTAAACCGAAAAAGGTACTTAGGTTCATATCCCAATTCTGCCATTTATTAGCTGTGTGATCTTTACTTCTCTGAGGCTCATTTCCAAGCTGGTGACTGACATGATGATTAAATGAGTTAATAAACAGGTAAAACTTGTAAAACAGTATCTGGCACATAATAAGCACTCAATAAACATTTAGTTACTTATTCCTGTTTAATTACTTCAATTAAATTTAGTTATATTTAAAAAAAAAAACCTCCTACTGACTCATGTCCTTTAGTTTACAGATCAAGAAAAGAAACTTATGGAAGTGACCACAGAATTTACCAAAAAGGTAAGCTATTATGTAAATATTTCTCTCTTGAACATCTCTTTTTGCCTTGTATTACTGCTTTTATGTATATAATATTTTAAGTTTAGACTTTAAAAGCAAGCCCTGTAGAATCCATTGTTGTTATAATCAGCTTTTGGTAAGCTGCCACTAGGTGGATGGTATTACCTGAGCCGTGCCCTGTCTGAGTCATAACCAAACTTTCTACATAGCATTTTTTTTACACTATTTTTATGTAGAAAATAACTTTTTTAAAAGATAAGGATTCACTCTATTCATACCATTTAAATGCCAAATGTGGATCACTGTTAAGTAAAAACAAATATTTATCTTGAATTTAAAAAAACAGTAAATTATTTATTGAGTGCTTATTACATGCCAGATACTGTTTTACAAGTTTCACCTGTTTATTAACTCATTTAATCCTCACATCAGTCACTATGCTGCTGGTGATTGCTATTATCCCTACTTTACAAGTCTGGAAATGAGGCACAGAGAAATAAAGATCACACAGCTAATAGGTGGTAGAATTGGGATATCAAGCTGGGTTCTAAACCCCATACTCACATAACTATTACTTACCTTTTCAGAAATCCTGCATTGTGATAATTATTGTAATCACTATGGCTTGAATAAAACCAAGCTTTCTGACTGAAAGTAATCCTATTCTTAAAAGCCATTTGTCTGTCTCCTAACAGAGGAAATGTCACTACTTTTTGCTCATAATTTAATAGAAGGGAAGGTCCCATTTGCTCTTCCAGGTATCCTATTCTCTAACTTGTTGGCCAGATACAAGAGGTAAACAAGACAGCAATTTCTCTCCCAGCTAGTTTCTGAGCTCTAGCTACCTCTTACTTCTCCTATCCCTTTATTTCTCCTAACATGTAGCATTCATTTTTACCCATTGCATATTTCAACCAGTTCCTTTCGTATTGGTGCCAGTTCATATTATTATAAATCTGGTTGATTTTTTACTTTTGCAGAATATATTTGAAATTTACACCATAATACCCTAAAACTACACAGATAATGATTCTATGACTAAAATTTTTGCTTCCCAGTTTATCTGTTTTATGTTACTATGAGGCTTCTAGTAGAATGCTCTCAGTATATGGTAATTCTAAGAAATGGTCTCCAAATATCCAAGTAGAAGGAATGAATGTGTTTTGTTAGTTGATAGTGTTCATTTAATGTTCACTTTTTATCCACTGTGCATCTTAATTGTGTTTCCCTAGTTCAGACTTTTATAATGCATAATTAACCCATAATTGAGGATCTCTAATATAAAATTTTGTTATTCGTAATACAGAGGGCCAAAATTTAATTTTCTTATTCTTATTCACTACAGGATAACCAAACCAAAAGTGTTATTTCAGAGACCAGTAATAAAATTGACAGTGAAATTGCTTCCTTAAAAACACTGATGGAATCTAACAAACTTGAAACAATTCGTTATCTTGCAGGTAAGGCTATTTGTTAGAGAAGGAAATTACTGTCATGTATTTTTCAGGCTTTCTAGCTGTTTTCTCCCAATGTAACCATGTCAGCACAGAAGAAAAAAGGGAGGAGTCTAACATCTCCTTTTTTGCTTGATCCCCTACAATGTTCAAAGAGGGTTCTAGTCTTGGGATACAAGTTTAACAGTCAACTCTACAAATTATTAATAGAAAACAGCCTATGAATATCAAAGAAATATAAAAACGCAAGTACAAAATAATGCAGTGATAAACTGGGTGTTCCACGATTGAAAAAGTGAAAATTTTATTCTGAGTGGTTATGTACTTCCATAAAGATTTGAATAGGCTTACAGAGTCCTTGGGTGGTGCAGATGATTAAGCAACTGACTGCCAGCTGGAAGGTTGGCAGTTCAAACCCACCCAGAGGCACCTCAGAAGACAAGCCTGGTTATCTGCATCTAAAAGGTTAGAGTTTGAAAACCTATGGAGCAGTTTTATTCTGCACACATGGGATCACCACAAGTCAGAATCAACTAGACAGCAACTTAACAACAACAGAGAAAGATCTTCAAAGTAGACATTGGCCATTAAAAACCATAACACGCAAGAGGGAAAAAGATAACCTTCTATCTTGAGTCCAACTCATTGAGCACAGATACTACCTAAAAACTAGATTGATTATCACATACTAAGCTTGTCAAGAACCATAAGACATGACCCAATTACACAGCTCAAAGACTTAGGAAGAATGCCCTATTCAAGTAGTATTTTTATTTTTTCTTTTTCATAAAAAGTAATATATTTTCATTATAAATTGTTCAGATGTTCAGATAACTCCAAAGCAATATAGTAAAAGTGAAAGCCTTCAAAAAGTCCTCCTGCTTTGTATTTAATACTGTTGTCGTTGTTGTTATGTACCATCGAGTCGGACCCGACTCATAGTGACCCCTCCTTGGGTTTCCGAGGCAGTATCACTACGGAAGTAGATTGCCCCATCTTCCTTCCGGAGGAGTGGCTGGTGGGTTTGAACCGCCAGCCTTCTGGTTAGCAGTCAAGTGCCTTAGGCACTATGCTACCAGAGCTCCCGTGTTTAATACTAGTAGTATATATTTTCCTAGGCTTTTTCTCCTGTATATAAGTGTACTTTATTTATCTAATTCTCTACTAGTAGACATTTGACTTCCAGTTTTTCATTCTTAAAAACATTGCTGTAGCAAATAGACATATATAAGTGTATGTTTGGGTAAATGCAGACACACATACGTACACACATATATGATCTTTGTGCCCTATGCTAATATTTTAGGTCAAAAAGATACACACATTTAAAAATTAGGTAGATAATAACAAATTGCTGTATGTTCTAACTTAAACTATCTGTGAGTTTCCACTGAGTTTCTGCTTAAGATTCATTTGAACTAAGGGTTCCAAGGCTAAAACAAGTTTGGAAAACTTTTGTTCTAGCAAAGTCTCCAGGAACAAAGACCTTCAGTCAGTGGTAAGGGAACTTCCAAATTAGCCCAGTTTGGAGTGTTATTCCACTTTCAAAATAGATCACAAAGCAACTCAGGTTAAAGAAAGCTTCAAATCCATTCAGCTTTTTCCAGGGTATTTACCTAAAGACTAAATATTAAAAACAAAATCCTTTTATCCTCAGTTTGAAGGTGATGATAGTCTGAAGACTTAGTGGCAGTGGCAAAAGAGATTAGCAAGTCAAGTCATTGTCTAGAAAATCATTACTTCCTAAATCATCATTTCCTACTTTCACTGAGTATTTGAAACTAACAATAGTGAAAGCACTTTCTCCTTCCCCACCCTTTTCCAAATATGTTATTGCTGCTGTTACTGGTAAGTCCTTTAGGTAACATGAATTCCGTACACCCAACAGGTGCAGAGTTAATGTCATGAATGATCCATAAGAAGAATACCTGAGATGTCAGTAATATAATAATGCTTCGCTTATGGAAGAGTCACATATTGAATTCAGCCATGAACACAGGGTGGGGGGATAGGGAGGACAGTGAGAAAAAACTCCACTTTCACTTTCAAAGCCCCAGAATTAAAGACCTTGTATTTCTTTTGGAGAAGAAATCTTTATCAAATCAAATCTTAATCAATTTGGTTTTCCAGCATATATCAGTACTCTTAGTTTAGACTATACATCTAACTTGAACTACCTTAGACATAAAAGGAATTTATTGGCTTACATATTGAATTATGAAAGGGCAGGGATACTTGGAATCAGGATTTACTATACATCTTGTCTCTGAATGTCTGCCTCAGTTTCTTATACCAACTTCCACCATGGGCTGGAAACATGGCCACCAGTTAAGTAGCTCCCAGACTCTTTATCATTCCAATTTCAGCAGCCAAGAGAGATTACCCCCTTTCATTAGTTCTAATCTAAAAAATTCCAAAAGGAATCTTAATGGCCCATCTTGGGTCAAACACCACCCTCCAACCCAGGTTACTGTTGCCAAGGACACAAGAGTTGTAAGATAATGGCATTTTCCATTTAATCTATATAGTTAACATGACAGATCTATTCTGGGCAGCTTAAGTAAAATGAAAGCTAACATTTACAGAGTATTTAGATTTACCAAGGAGCCCTGGTGACATAATTTATAAAGTGCTTGGGTGCTAACTGAAAGGTCTGTGGTTTAAATCCACCAGCTGCTCTGTGAGAGAAAGATACAGCAATATGCTTCTGTAAAGATTACGGCCTTGAAAACTCTATGGGGCACCTCTGCCCTGTAGGGTCACTATGAGTTTGACTCACTTCTATGGCAGCAGTAGTTTTTTTATTTTTTGTTTTGTTTTTTAAGATTTACCAGGCGCATGCTCACCTAAGCATTTTACATACATGTCTGTTCCTTAAACAGGGTATAGAAGCTAAACAGCAAATATAAAAGTAATTTTGTGATGTCTCCAGAGTGAGCACGACAGCAGAGAATAGCTGACAACAGAAACAAGAAACTTAAATGCAGTAACAACTGGCATCATTCCGCTAATGAAGGAATTACGTATCTCCCTCCTCACAATAGATAAGTGTTCATTTGGTAGTATACAATTTAATTTACAAGCTCCATGAGTTAACAAAAGATAAAACCAAGATAGCACTAGGTGGTTCAAAGAAACGACAGATTATGTTGAGTCTTTTAGCCGACACAGTACAAATGAAGGTAACAATTTAAAAAAGAAAAAAAAAAAAACCTTTGGAGTCAAATCCATCTAGGCTTGAATCCTGGCTCAACCACTTGCTAACAATGTAAATTTGAACTTGTTGCCTCATGTGTACAATGGGAATAATTCCACCGGTCTCATACCAAAAAAAACAAACAATACCATCAAGTCAGTTCCAACTCATAGTGACCCCCATTGGGTTTCTGAGACTATATATCTTCACGCAAGTACATCGCGCCCCGTCTTCCTTCCATGGAGCAGCTGGTAGGTTTGAACTGCAAATCTTCTGGTTATCAGCCACTACGCCACCAGAGCTCCTTACCAGTCTCATAGGGTATTAATAACAGTTAAATGAAATAATGTATGTATTCTCAGCACACTGCTTGGTTCACAGTAATACTCAGTAAATAGAAATCAAAAGGAATAATATATAATTACCCAGTGTCAACAAGACAAACTGTTAATTACTTTTTTCTCCCGAAATGCCCAGCTGCCCTCTATATCCTAGAAAGATCTAATCCCATGTCCTAAAATTAAGGAAATGGATCTTGTCATTAATCACATTTTAGTAACATAATAGCTTTACTTTAAAAGGCTGATTTCTTTTGTCTTTAATCATAAGAATTGGGCCATCATCTCACAGATTCTCCATTTCAAAAAAATTCTTTCATGGCTGTTTGAACAAACTAGCAACTAGAGAGTCCCTAAAAGCCTCACTCAGATTTGGCTTCTTAAAGCTGGGAGAACAGAAAGGTTTTCTCTCCAAGACGATGTAGCATAAAGAGCAGGTTGTATGTTAACTGTTTAAATCTGATGCTTTTCCTGCCTTTTAATTTCTACCTCATTGAGATTTTTTAGAATAGTTTTCATTAAACATCATTTTTTTATTTGTATACTTTTAATAATGTGGAGGTCAAAAATATGAGAAAAATTATCTTTAAGTGTACCAAAAAGGCAATTAAAATTTTCTTCTGTGTATGATACAAATGTCTATTTACTGTGCTAAATATATGTATTTTTAACATACACAAGATAGTCTTTCATTTATCATAACATCTAAAGAGTTTATATTTAGTTATTGTGAATAATGTTTATAAATGCTGTTTATAGATTCTAACAGATATAATCTGTATTTTTAAATTACTGCCATCCTTATTCTAAGTTTAAGATACAAGAAGCTTTTGAGAATCAGTATTAATTCTGCCCTTACAGATAGCCTTTATCTTTAATATTACAGGGAATGAAAAACCTAGGGTAGAAAACTGGTTAGATGTCCTTTGTTTTCTGCTATTTAAAAATGATATTATTCTATTTATATGTACAAAATTACGACAATACATGACCTATATAATATAACATAGTGTCTTCTTTCCACAGCCTCAGTGTTTACTTGCCTCGCAATAGCCTTGGGATTTTATAGATTCTGGAAATAACAATAAAACTACTGTATCATGCTCCTGCTGCTGTTGGTGGTGACTTACAACACTATATTAAGGATCTGCTGCCTTCTCAGTTGCAGCAACAACTTATTATAACAAGATTATTCAAAGCACTTAGAAACTAAAAAGAACTGTTTTTGAATAGGAAGATCTATTTATTTTGTGATGTTCGAAACCTGATTGACTTAAGATAGAAAGATAATTTGTCCTTTTCATAGTTTATAGAAACAAATCAAAGTTTTCTTGTGTTTGCTTGAACTCAAAACTGTAAGTCATACAGGATTTCCTTGGTATGTGCTAAGATTTGAAAACTACTCCCAGCCTACATACTTCATGCTGTATTCAACTTCCCTGATAACATTTGCACAATTACATTTTCATACAAAATAAAAGATTATAACAAAGTTCTTTGGACTTTAAAAGTGATTTATCATAGAGCTGGAGATTATGTTTTTATTTTTAGTAATGAACTAAAACAATATATTTTGAAATAATGTGTGCTCTAGTGAGTCTGTTAACATTTAGTATGAAATCTGTAAAGTTGCTAAATATTGAGCTCTGGTTGTTACATGAATATTTCAAATTTTTGATTCACAAAAACCAACTTATAACAACTTCTCAGGAATCCATCTTGAATTTATTATATAAAACAATGCTTTTATTATTTATTATTATTCATTTAAATTCAGCAAACAACCATTGATCCATGATTCTGACTCTCAAGAACCTTGGGGAAATTCAAATTTTTTCTTTTGTTTTTAAATCTACTTGTGTTTCCTTTAATCATATCGATTAAGAATGCATATATAATTTCAGGGGAATTACAAAATACCAGTTTCATCTCAGTCCCTTCAGTTTTATCCAGATCAAAAAGCCAAGACTAGAAAGTGCTAAACATTTCAAAAGACTTTTTACATACCTTGACAAGAAGTTTCTAAGAAAAAAATGAGTTAGAGTTTAACAGGATAAAGTTAAAATATAAACAGGGGATTTGTTTTGAAAACAACTCACCAGTTATATCTTTGAAGCCAATTTAGATGGAAAGCCTCTGAGATGTCACTAAACCATATAGACAGATCACTCTTAACTATGCTATAGTTCAGGTAGGAGCTCTGGTAGTGTAGTGCCTAAGGCACTTGACTGCTAACCTGGAAGCTGGCAGTTCAAACCCACCAGCCACTCCTCAGAAGGAAGGTTAGGCAATCTACTTCCGTAGTGATACTGCCTCGGAAACCCAAGGAGGGGTCACTGAGTCAGGTCCGACTCGACAGCAAATAACAGCAACAACAACATAGTTCAGGTATTTATAACTAAACAAATAACAAGGTTATTTTGAATAATGGATGGATTATATGATTAGCACATTGTTGATAATTTTTATTGGATTAGTAAATAAAGCCTATATAGGTTAAAAAGCCCACTGTAGCAAATTCTACAGTGCATTTGTTCACTCAACAGATAGGAATGCCGACTATGTTCCAGGCAACATGCTAGTACTTATGTGTACAGAGGTGAACATGGTTTCATTCTCATGGAGCTGACAAAGAAATACATTTAGTTTGTTACAATTCAAAATATAGTCATATATTGAAGGAATGTTATGTGAAGGAAACTAATAGCATAGCATTGTTGTCACTCTTAGTCCTTACATCTGCTCTACCCATAGTGAAGTAAGTTGACTTACCTAATTGTAAATATGGAAGAAGAAACAAAGGTGCAAGTAGCTCAGCTCCTTCTCCCCACTCTTTGGGACCATCCTGTTTGGAGAGCATTCATTCTGTTTTGCTTTTATACTGCCATATTCTGTCTCTGCAGGGTGAGGCCTATCCCAGTACAGTGATGTTTAGAATAGGGTAAGTGTCTAGTTCTGGGGTTCAGTGACAGGAAGCTTACTGACCTGAAGAGATTATAAACCATATTCTCCAATATCAGTTTTATCAATAAATAAAGGTACTATTTAGGCCTCTATATCAGTTCATTCTTTATCTCGTATGTTCACAGCCCAGATAGGAAAGAAGAGTGCCATTTATGGGCTTCCTCAAACCTTAAGAAGCATTAAGATGCATATTCCTAGTTTATAGCCACTTAAAATCTTGTGTTCATTCTCACTGTAGGGATTTAGCAAGTGCAGTGCTTTGCATTCAATACTAGAAATACAGTACACCACAACCTATCCTCATTACTTCTAGATCCAATATCTTTTCCATTGAGACTTCATTTTGATGGCAGTTTTGTAGTTCAGATAGATTTTTATTTAAGGGGATGGAAATACCTGAAAATTAAGGAGGATGAGAGGATATGCCCTTATGTACCTCAAAATTACACCTCTATTCCAAAATTTCTTCATGTATGATGTTCTTGATATCGTCCTACAACTCATCTGGTTTTTGGTCATTGGTGTTCAGTGCCTGAAACCTATTCTTCAGATGATCTCTAAATTCAGGTGGGATATACTTAAGGTCATACTTTGGCTCTGGTATGCTTGTTTTAATTGGCTTCAGCTTCAACTTGAACTTGCATATAACCAATTGATGGTCTGTTCCACAGTAGGTTCCCAGTACAGTGATGTTTAGCTACTCTCCATTCAAGAGCAAGTTTCAGAGTGTCTTCCGACATCCATTTTGGTCTTTTGTTCCTTTCCTTTTTACCACTCATCTGTCAATTTGTCATACTGTGGTGGCTTATGGGATGCTATGAGGCTGGAGGCTATGCTACCAGTATTTCTGGTATTCTATTTTTTTTATTATTGTAAAAATACATAAAACACATTTGCCAATTTTAACATTTTTACATGTTAAATTTAAAAAAAAATTCCCTAAGTAGTTCAAGTCATCTTCAGTTTCAGCAAGGTCATGTCATCTGCACATCACAGATTGTTAATGAGTTTTCCTCCAATCCTGATGCCACGTTCTTCTTCATACAATCCAGCTGTTTGAACAGTTTCTCACAAAGATTAGCATAAGGCCGGTCCCCATGAGGGAGAGGTTAAAGATGTCCCAAATGTCCAAGCTACCATGCCACTCCATCATTTCAGACATGAACTACTCCTCCTCCCAATAATGTCCCCCATCTTAAGGTTCTGTATCTCACTGTAACGCCTCACAGAACTCACAGACACCCAAGGGATCGTCTCACGTAGTAGTGATAGAGGCTGGCAGGCTGGAGAGTCCCAGGTCCTTGAGTGGGTCTGGAGGATCCTCCCAGTTCTCAGGGTTTGATGAACCTTGATCAGCAGATCAGATGACGGCTGCTGTCCCAAATTCAGGGGTGAGATGAGGATGAGCCAAAACACAAAACCAGAGCAAAAGGAGGGCAAACCTTCCCAGGAGATTTGTAGGTATACCCTCAAGGAAGCTAAGGGTGGTGATTTGAATTATACCCTCCAGCAAGGCAGGACTCAAGATACATTCCACCTGTGTTGCTCCAACAGAAATAACCCAAGTGGATGGCTTTAACAATCAGCCACTCAAGGCAAATCCCACCACAGAGCCGACTGCCAGTCATTATAGGGAATAACTACTACCAGCTGCCCAGCCAAGTTGCTACCCGACCTTAACTACCACACCACTGCAAACTGGCATGGATAATAGATTCACAATACATCACAGAATGAAGGACAATGGCTAGAAGGGCCACATCAAGCAATTCACCACACTGTACCCCCTGGCTCTTCTAGCCATTAGCCCTTTCCTACTTGAAAGATTAATTTGCCTCTCCCAATCATATTACTGGTCCCAAGGTAATTAACAATTAGTCTTATCAGTAAGACAAAGAGTCCTAAGGGTGAGTTTATTCAGATACCAGCCATTCAGGTATGCTGTATTGGTCCATCTGATCCAAAAGTTTTTCTCATTATCATCCTTTATGTTATCCGATAATATTTAACTGAGATAATATTATTCCCTTGCTCTGAGTCTGTCTTTAGGTATCAGCATAATGTTGGGTTTCCCCCACTGCATAACCCATTTATTCATTCCTTCACCTTCAGCTATTATTTCTCCTTCCTTCTATTCATCATTTATTTTTACCCAGACTTTCCCACCTTGGGAGGTGTGTTGGATTGGGTTCTCTAGAGAAACACAAAAACCAGCCAAGTATATATATATATTTATAGAGAGAGAAAGAGAGAGAGAGAGAAATTTATCTTAGATAAATGGCTCACAAGCATGTAGAAGCCGACAAGTTCAAGCTGAAAAGTTCGTCTCTGGAGGGGGATGGGGCCCAGGGCCGTCTGGCTTTCACACGCACGGCAGAGGAGTTCAAGTCACAAAGTTCGTCTCTGGAGAGAGATGGGGCCCTGAGTCGTCTGGTTCCCGTAAGCGCAGCAGAGCCGGGAGAATCAAACTGACACGCAGGGTCGCCGTTCCCAACAAAGAATGAATCCGAAAGCCTCCAGGGCGAGCAGCGAGCTGCTTGCTCCAGGAAGTATATAGTCCGGAATGCCGTTCTTCCAGTTTGTCCCTGGGATAGTATTACAGGTAGGCCACACCCCTGGGGAAACTCCCCCTAGACTGACCAGCCACTTAGGACGCAGTCATGTGATCCATCATGGGAACCACCACTCACAAGTGGAGTCCAGCCAAGTTGACACATCTTCAACTATCACAGGAGGGGACATCAAGTTCAGTTGTTGCGCCTATCCAGATTGCTGGTAGCAAGATCAGTCTAACAAGTGCTTCCCCCTCAGTCCACTCCCACTCATGCTAGGTATGGTTACACAGGTACAAAACTAGTGGGCTATCTCAACCACTGGGCAGGATGGTAGTATTCACTATCATCCCTAATTTGGCCAGATGGGGAGAAGGGACAATCCATCCCATGAGGCCCTTGGGAATTCTGGCATACAGGTTCAGGGGTATAGACACAGTCTCTTGCTTAGGGATCACCCCAGCCTCTGGCACCCACAACTGCATCCCAGGTCCAGGGACCACAGCTTCTGGCAGGAAGAAAACAATGTTAGGTGATGTGGGGAAAAACTGTACAGTGGCACCTGC